TGTGTGTGTGTGTGTGTGTGTGTGTGTGTACCCAGCTGGTACTAAACGAACTTGGCAGCAAATAAAGATTAAATATGAAAACATAAATAAGCTCTTATGTTCAACCTTTAACAAATAAATTACATAATTCACTGCTTCAGCACACAGTCCCCCTTAAAAAGTAATGTGTAATACTCCATCTTCTCTCTGCCAATGTTTAATATAAGTTTAATTTTTCATTGTGACTCAGAATGATTGTTAATTTTTCACAATGAGTGTTCTGATGGACGATCAGCTGAAGAGGCTCCAGCTCCTCTAGAGCTCAACTTCTGTAATTATTTTTTTCAGAAGTTTATTTCATTAAAAAAAATAAAAAATAAAACGGAATAAATTCTAAATACAAAAAATAAAAATATATACTTCTGTAAGAATTTAAACCTTTGATCATAACTTCATTAGAGAGTAGAAATGTAAATGAAATTTGATCATTTTTCTGTCCCTAAAGCTTCATGTGAAGCAGCTACAAACTTAAAGAAAAAGACTGAAACCTGAGCAATTAAAAACATCTAAAATTTCTCAAACAAATTCATCCAGAAAGACGTCTAATCGTGGTCTTATCACTCTCTCCTGATATAAAGTTCTGTGGATTATTACGCTCCAAGATAGATAATAAAAGGAGTTAAGACTCTGAAGTCTGGGCAGGTTGGAGCTGTGTTGCAGGTGGAGATTCAGCAGCTGTGGTCAAACAGCCTCTGAACCTACACTTTGAAAATGACAGTCAAGTGATCTCTCGTTGTTTTGTTGTGCATGTGAACACAAGGTGTTACAGTGGAAAGGCTGCAAGGTGCTTTCAAAAATATATATACAGAAATCCTCAGTGAAAGGTGTCATTCACCTGKCCTGTGAGGGCTGTCACTGCGCACACCCACTCACTGTCAATCAGACAGCATGACCCGCCCCACTCTGATCCGATTAAATCTTTGACTGCGGTTCTATTTATTAGGTTAAAAAAAGCATTAGTTTAACCCTTACATGGCTTTAACAAATTTTTTCTTTTATTTTAACAAATGATGGACATCCGTGGCAAAGAACTTTTTTTTCTTGGTTGTCCACCAGACAACCAGYAGGTGGGATCTGGTTGACCCCTGGCMACCATTCTGCTACTTTTAGCTACCGTTTTGCCACATTTAGCTTTTAGCCACTGTTCTGCTAATTTTGGCTAGCCTTTCACAGTTGTTAGCTAATGCACTTCTCCTTTTAGAATAAGAAATCAGTTTCAGCTTCTTCAGCAAATTTAAGCAGTCGGTCTACATTCACACTGCGTTTCACTTAAGTTTTTTTTTTAATCTCTAGTGTTAACTTTATTTCTTTAGCAGTTCACAAACTGTAAGGGATGTGCAGCTAAAATTTTCACAAAGCATAGAAATCATATTTTGTAACAAAATAAAATAATGATAATACTGATGATTAAATCATCCTTGTGTTAACTGTTAAGCTGATTAGTTATATTTGTGTTTGACAGTAACAGTTTCTCCATTTCGTACCTGTGAGCTTTTCCCCTCCACTTGTAGGGCTGAGCAGAGTCTGGGTTGATGCTAATGGCTCTGTCACAGTCTCTGATGGCTGCGTTGGGTTTCTGCATCTTAATGAAGACACTAACACAAAGAACACGGCTCCCATCACTCACGAGTCYTAACTAACGAGCAGCTGGGAGACAAACGACACTCGGGTTCCTCACCTCGCCCTCTTGGCGTAAAGGATTGCTACACGGGGGTTCAGTTTGATGGCTTCAGTGAAAAGATCCAGAGCTTTCTGCAGGTCGCCTGGAGGAGAAAGAAGTGGGGAAAAAAATAGGATTTTTTTTTGGTCTGTGGAGTTATGTTTAAATTCATTACTGGAACCAGGATCTGGTCTGTCGTGGAAATCTTTATTTACCCAAGATAGAAACACGTGATCCAAGAATAAAAAGTACTCCGTGAAATGATCAATCAGGATTTTTTGCAATTGAAAGACACGCATCATGTCACACAGGGCAGTGGTACATGGAATGTGTGCACTGAGGCAGTTTCAAATACACACATTTATACAGTATGTTATCCAAACAGACAAACATCTGTCTTGGTGCCGAAACTGGGCCAAGGAGAGAATGATGTTTGATAAAATGCAACAAGAACAATCACTTCTAAACAGATATTGTCCTGGTTGTGAAACACTTTATCTGAGAGAAAACAGAGGAGAAAGAGTAAAATCATAAATCATGATGACATTTTAAGGTAAGCAAAAGAGGTCGCTGACTCTCGACCTGAGAAGTTAGGGGTAAGTTATTTTTCCAAGACAACTTCCTCCCTTTTGGTCAAACATTGATCGTTAAATAAGGTTTGGCGCCCAACGAACAGGATCCACTAGGAGATTGACAGACCAAGGCCACATCGCAGGTGGACTGATATGAGTGAGCAAGGACTGCTCAGGACCGTGACTCCAGCTGGATCTAAAGAACCTTTTCAACAACAGAAATACGCTGGTGACCACAACCATGATGGATGATCTTAAATAAACAAGACAACATTGGATTTTATTTTTTGCTGTTGAAGAACCTGAGAAGATTTTGAAACATCATCTGCTGAGAGTGAGTACAGAAAAGCTTCAAGATGCCTCCTTACTTTTCCAAAGAGGATTTTTGCCAGCTTCTCCAAGTGTTGGAGCTCAAGATTCATCGTCTGGAAGAGATGAATGCTTTGGAGAACTCAACATGTGTTAAAATGGGTGAGAAGGCTGAGATGAGAGATCAACATGGAGAGGAGATGGAAGCTGCTTCTGAGAGTAAAACTGTATGGAACTCTCTTTGTGCCAGACCAAAAAATCTCTCAGGAAGGATTCAGCTCTTAGATGAAAACGAATGGCCAGAGTTACAGAGAAATGCTTTTTCTCCTCCAGCAAGGAGAAGAAAGCAGAAACAGGCTGGAATCAAAACAACTGATTAACCGCCAGAGAAATGAAGACAGAGCAGTGTTTCTTCAAAACAGATTCACACCACTGGAAGAAACTGGAGAGTCTGAACAAAGTTCATTTCTGATCTCAGAGAGGGACCTGAGACCAGATCCAGATCCAGCTCAAAGCCAAAACAAGTCCAAAGAGAGACTTTCAAGAATCAAGAAATGCTGATCATCACAGATAAAATGGTGAATGAGCTCAGAGGCTTCTGGAACAATAAAAGTCAAAGTTTTGAGTTTGGCTGATAAAGTATCTGACCTCACAGAGAAGATTCTGCAAATAACAGCAGAATACCCAACTCTGAAGATGCTCATCATTCATACATGAAGTGATGAAGTTATGAACAGTCAGAAATCCTGAAGGAGGATTTTATTCAGTTTCTGAATGCAGTTAAAAATCTCAACATGGATGTGTTCCTACAGCAAGAGAGGGGCTGAGAGGTTCAGCAGACTGTTTGTTCTTAATGGTTTTTTGGAAATGTCCTGTGCTGACCACTTTGTGAGATACGTGGATAATTTTAATCTCTTTTGGTAACAAAAACATCTGTTCAAGACTAATGGAATGACTCTGAATAGAGCTGGAGAAGAGCTGTTAGTTTCAAACACGAAGTACTTCCTGAAGTGTTTCCTGTCTGGAAACAACAGAAAACAGCAGCAGTGTGATCAACTGACGTCTGAGGCTGAAGGACAACAGAAGAAAACTGAGACATCGATAGAAAACAACGTGCAAGTGGCTGATAAAGAGACTGAAACAGAACCAGAACCACAGAGAGAGGAGTTACTTCAAGCTGCAGAACCGGAAGAACATCTGGATTCATCAACACTGCAACCGGAGAAACCCAAACCATCTACTAAGAAGGAGAAGGTACACACTACACCCAAGAAAAGGAAGTACTGGTATGGATATGACATTGAGGACGCTGTGGAACAAGCAGAGTATTATTTGGAGTTACACTCAAAGCTACAGCATTGTTCAGCATGGTATAAAGAAAATGGGACAGAAAAGCAGTTTCAAGGGTGGAAAGAGGAATTATGAGCAAATACCCTGATGATGAATATTTTTATGTGTGGGAGGAATAAAAAATTAATTACTGTGGTTGGGATTTTAGAAAAGTACATATTCTTAGGTTTGTGTTGACATACCGTTAATTTCTTAATACATTAAAGGGTTGTTTTTTGTGTTTGTTTTATTGGTCATTTAATGATCAGATGGGGGAGTGTGATGGAACTAAGATTTTAGGTTTAAGCCAGTAATTTATGAAATACTTTAATGACCTAAGTTTTCATGACATGCTGTTCATCAGCTAGGGATGGGTACCTTTGACGTTTGAATCGATTCGGTACCAATATCCGGTACCTGGGAATCGGTACCGGTACTTAACGGTACCAATTTTCGGTACTTTGTGTGTGTTGTTTTTTTAATAATAAACTTTAATTTTTTTTACATATTTCTCAATATATAAAATTTAACAAATATCAAGACAACATCCAACTCTTTGTATTGTAACATCAGTTGTGTAACTTATTTCTTTAAAGTGCAAACTCTTGAAAACAACAAGACTGTTTTGTCTTATTGTACAAATTAAAATCCAGCTCGATGTATTTCTATTAATATCATTTCCCCGCTAGAAAAATTGTGTGATGGAGGTCCATGGAAGGCAAATAAGTTTAAAATCAAATAATCAAAAGAGGATGGAGTTAAAATAAATAAAAGTTATTCAAGCTACGTTTTGAGCATCCAAAATGCGTCCAACACTTCAAGTTAGCTGCTTGTGCTCTTTAGGTCAGACGTGTTCGGCCTGTCGGGAAGCTCCTCTGTTGTTTTCCTCTACCGGTCTCTGTTTAATGGCAGATGAAATAAAGAAAGTGGTGGTACTTTATTTACTTTGAACAAGCGAACGTCATGCTCACAAGATAATTAATCCACCAGATAATTCAGAGGTGGTCTGTTCGGCGCGTTTTTCTCCAGGAGCTGCGAGGCTCGCTCTCATGCGATGTTCATACCGAGCTCTGCTTCTCTCTGTTTACTAAAACTAGCAGCTTCTGACGTCATTACACTTTTGCGTCATGCTGCGTTCAGGACAAGCATGGAAAACTCACTACTCTTACGCCAAACCGGTCGCAATGATATGTTTAGGTACCAAAACATGGTACCGTTTGATGTTACGTGAATAGGTTCTTGGTAGTACCGACAGAATTCGGTCTTTACATTTTTAAAAAGTTTCAAATTCGGTACCCATCCCTATCATCAGCAGATTGAATGATTAAAGTCAGAACAAGATTTGCTAACAACAGTCATTCCTAGATACCACTTGTGTTTATCTTTGTGTTTTCCTTTGACCCAGCATTTCCTTAGGATGAAACCTTGCTTTATTAAGATGACATAATGGTGTTTGTTAAACAGTATATATATATGAGGCCTCAGCTGCCTCAGAGAAGCAGAGACAGGAGCAGAGAGCAGGGGGACAGTCTGCTCTCTGTGTTCCTGTTGCAAATGAAACTCAGCTGATCATTTCCAAGGAGTACCTTCATTCTTGGACCACATATTTCTGTCTTTGTTAAATAAATATTTCCATAACATGGTCTGTGTTTATCTACCTTCTCCAAGAGCATTAATGGCCTCGACCTTCTTCTCGTTGGCCTGATCCATCATCTCTTCTGTGACCTGAATAAAAGGATCATGTTTTATTACAGTTTATCTGACAAGTCTTTGTGAATTACAACCTGAGTGACAAAAAGAAAAACGTCTCACCTCAACATTTTCAAACTCGCCCATTTCCTGTGGCTCAACCAGGTCCGGCTCGATCACCCCCTCGTTGTCGATTTCTGAAAGACATTTTTTTGATCTATTATGACAAGATTAAAACCTGTGAAGTTTCATGATTATATTTGCAGCGCGTAGAGTGAAATGTGACAAATTAACTTGTATTTCTGATACAAAATTAGCATAAAAAAGCATTAATGAGCTTCCATGACACTGACAACCAGATTGTTTGGAGACTAGACCCTTTTGAGGAGACTTTTAAGAGAAGCTAAACAGCTGCTAACACTAAATTTTAATGAATTCGGGCATGAAGTTCTCCAAATCTAAATAATTAACCAGCATGTCATTTCTACTGCTGTTCAGAAAGATTAAAATATATTTACATTGTATTTTAAACTTGAGCCTTATAAAACATAATTTCTGTATGCCAAAAAAAGAAAAAAAAAAGGAAAATATTAAACACAATTTGAAAAAAAGAACTGTAGTATTTGTTACCGATGTCACTCTCCTCACTCTCAGACGCCACAGCGGGCTCAGGTTCAGGAGGTGAAGCTGCTGAAGGAGGGGGACCACAGGGACAGCCACTCTAAAGGTCAGAACTCTGTTAGAAACATTATTTCCTGTGTCAGAAACTGATATTCTGATTTAAAACGGATTTAGAAAAACTACCTGACATGAATCCTTTTTCTTCTCCTCAGGAGGAAGTGTTGCTCCCATGCTGCAAGATAAAATTATAAGAACAATTTAGAAATCATAACAAACTTGGCAAATAAAACGTCTTTATAAGCTTTATTCTGTTGCAGATGTTTTTCCCATTGAGGTGGCTAGATTTGTCCTTTTCTTATTTATCTTTAAACAGATGTTCAATTAGCAAACCAGCAGCATGTAACAGAAAACTAATCAGAACACAGCTTGAACTCCAGCTGTCCTGTTGGTCGCTTTCTCTTCTGACACAATCTGAAAAAAAGTGAAAGTTTAATCTGATGGCCTTAAATGACTTCTCATAAACAGCAAAACAATGTCACAGCAGAAACTGACGTTTAATCAACACATATTCAAATTTATCACAATTGTTGCCCAATAAATGTTTGTCAAAAAAGCTGAAAAAATGTGCTTCAACTTTAACAAATCAGTGTGTTTAATTTTCAATCATACATTAGAATGAGAAAATTTTCATATTTTTGTTTACATTATAAAAGATAAATAAAGGGAAACTTTTACTTCAGCTTTTTGAAGTGGGGTTTTGTGGACGTTATAAACAGTTAATATCTTACCTGTTGTAGATAGCTCTTTGAACAACCTGAGTTTGAAACCAGGTTTAATTCTGACCAGACTGATAAGCTAATGTTTAGTCTGAGTCTTAAAACAACTTATTAATAAACCCTGGGGGCTCAATCATGATTTCGGTTCAGTTCAGTTTTCATTTCAGTACCTTTATTGTCCCCCCAAGGAGGGAAATTTCATTTGCAGCCAAGCATTTCCAACATACAACACAACATATAATACATAGACAGTGTCGAAGCATACAAGCAGCAATTTATAAAGGTTTAAAGAAATTTTAAAACTATAAATTTTGAAATTTAAAAATATGATTACTCTGGGTACAAAAGGAGTTCTACCATCTTTAATATGATACAAATGATTGTTTCTATTGGTATTCTTGCATTGTTCAAACCTCAGTTCTGCATTTTTGCATTATGACCAACTTCCAGCCCGATTTCTGCAACCCAGATCTCTGGGGTTCTATTAGGGCCGGGCTGGGCTGCTGGGCTTGATTTTACGTTGGCCATTAATTGGTTGGTTGTACTTCATTCATAGAATTAGCTTACCTTCTCCTCATCTTTCATGGCCACTTCAGCGCACAGCTAACCAGGTTAGTTTCACTAACCACTAATGCACTAAACCAGAAMCTTAGCTCCGCTAATGCTAAACAAAATTTAGAGGACGCTAAACCAGAGTTCAACCAGAGCTCCGTCTAACTTGTGATACTTTCAGTTTACCCCTTTCAGAATAAAAGCATTTATTTGATCCAGTTTGTATTTTTTATAAATTCAAGTAATGGCAAATACTTTCTCTACCATATTTTATATGTTAGTTCTTTATGTACTCATTTAAAAATTGTTAAATGTTTTATTTTTTGATGCTCGTTTGATGCATGTTGAATTATATGGTCAAGATGCTACATAAGGTACAAAACAGTTTTTATTTTGGGATAAATGGTCTAAAAATAGAAGTTTTACACTTGTGAATTTTTTTTAGTGAACTTAAAATTAGCAGAAGCCATTTTAGTGGAAGCTAATCGGTCTGCTAATGGTTCCCAAAGCTAGCAAAAAAACATAATCTGCAGATCTGTGCCCACCACTGATACAAAATCATTATACACTCTCATGTATCTTTCTGCTGTGTTTCTTGTAGCAGCACACAGCCTTCTCCGGTTCTACTTAACTTGTTTTATTGAGAGAAAGAATGATGAACAATAGCACGAGCTTTGTTCTTTTTATTGCTGGATGGGTGTTGTAAAAAGTGACATCACGTGAGCCTTGAGGGTCCTCGCTACGACAATATTGCCCACTTGCAAAAACAATAGGGCTGTGTAGAGCCGGGGAAGAAACGGGCCAGGCCGGAGCTTGCAATGCAAAAACGCCATGTGTCCGTGTGATGAACTGATGAACTGATGAACCTGTCCAGGGTTTCCACCGAAGCAGGTACAGAAAATGGATGGATGATCATGATGATGATGTTTTTTCAAATTATCCTGTTTGGAACATTTATATTGAATTCCATTCATTTTTGTGGCCTAAGGCTGAGCTTAACCCCAAACTGAACTCTAAAATCACGTCCCATCACATCAGAACTAGGCTTTAGTCCCCCATGAGGACTACTGGTTCAGACTGGACCAGAATTTTTTTTTTTTTTTTTTTTTACTGGTGGGCGGGTCAGAGCACGTGGTGAGTCAAGCAATTGTTGAAGTGATAAAAATTTATGACAAAGATAGTTATTAAATGAATCACCCCAACACCAGCAGTATTAAACAGCGAGCAAACAGAAGCCATGAACACCGTCTCTGGTTCATGAAGACGGACTGACCTCTGCAGCCAGGACCGGAAGAAGCTCATCTCTGGAAGGTGCAGGATCTCCGGGTTGGTCTCGCATAGTTGCACAAAGCCCTTCAGTTCGGCCACTTTTCGTGGGTCCATGGTGGTGTGTCACCGTCCAGCGCACGGAGCCCTGCAGGCGGGTGGGAATGAGTGTGAAAAACAAGCAACTTCACCAAGTCGGGCTTTGTTTGTGTGCTTTAGCTGCTAACGTTAATACCCTCAGAGCGACTAAAGCTGTGTGCGACGACCGTATGAGCCCCACTCACTTTGTTCATTTAAATATACACAAAATTCAGCTTCCTGCAATTAAAAAGGCCCACGTTAAAGTAGTAAAATTACTATTTTGGAGGTCGAAAAGCCAGAAGTTTCTGGAAATGTGAATCAATGCGTGACGCGTTGCCTGTTTGACGCATGATGATAACACGGATGCCGTAAATAAAACGCGGTGTTTGCCTGTTTCTCAGTTTCTAAAATGCAAACGCACCTGATTTTCAAAAAAATGCACAACGTAGAGGAGAAACACCGTAGAGGAAGGCTTTGGTCGATTTTATGTTCCACAACAACACTGCTGCTTCCCTGGTGGTGGCGAAGCGCCTGTGTGTTTTATATTCAGGCAGATTATTGGACAGCCTTGGATTCATGAGTAAATTTGAGCCCTCGGTCAGGGCTGTCAGGTACTTCTTCAGATCAAATTGGAAGGATTACAGTAACATCAATTCATGAAATATTTTGCTGACAGACAAATAAAGTTTTAAGAAAAGATGCTACTACTGACAGAACGTGGTCCAGAAACTGACAGTTGAAATTATTAAAGAAAATGCATTATAAATTTAATTCAGCACGAACTTTTGGAAAACTTGATTCTTCACAGTTGTCTGAGTCAAAAAAAAAAAAAAAAATAGAGAGAGCAAATTAAAAGAAAACGTAATTATTTTGCAAAAATAATCAAGACATCACAGTGTCAGGACAGAGACTTGATACATAGAGCAAATGTAAACAAAAATAATTAGTAATTACGGGGGGGAAGTGATTGTGGGTAAGCTGAAAGAAATTGGCTGGATCATTTGGGATTCATCTACAGAAATACAAATTGCAACTTTTATTAAAAGAGAAAGTTTAGATCTATAAATAAATATATTCCTAAGTGCCCCATGCCGTTCTAGGGGAGTTTGGAGTATGCTCATAAATCTATGTAAAAACAACAACAACAGTGGAAACAAAATTAACAGATGAAGCACTAAAATCTTTGAGATAGATTGTTTTCAAATTGCACCAGTTCACTGTTGTCTTGGTCTCTTGAGCCAGCCATTACCATATTAATATGCATAATATATAATATGGTCTTTTAACGCGTTATCTGAAACTGGTAAGATAATAACTGTTTATAACCTTTCCACAGAACTGCACTTTGAAAATTCTGAATTATTCCTTTAAGGATTAAACAGAAGAAAACAAACCCACGGTGAATTAAAGAGAAGTGAATTGTTAATTGATACTTAGTGATGAATGTGGATCTTTTAAAGCTGAATGAGAAACATGTTACATGTTGAACAAAGCACCATGAGAGATACACAAAGACACAAAAAACATTACTGTCTGCCTTTGGCTGCAGGCAATAATAACGCCATTAAAATGCAATCCTTATTTATAAAAGCAAATTTTTCTATTTTTAATTCATTTAAACAGTTTTCTTGATGAGTACTTGTAAAACCTCATTTCAGGATATCTGTAGAAACCAGAGGAAGACATCAGGAAAAAAACAACAACAATGATTTACTTCATGGCTCGGCTCCTCTTCATCATTTATTTATGGTGGAGAGGCTGCATCGGTGCAATACTGTCAAGCTCCTACACTACTCCCCATCGCTTATAAAGGAGAGCCCAACCTAATTTGACACCTCTGACTGAGGAGGACTCTAAAGCACAGCATTGTTGTTTTTTCCTGTTTTATTTTTATTTTATTTTTGTTTTTTAATGGTCTCAAATGTCTACAACCACAGCACACCACAATACATCCAGAAGGATGACATCCACAAAAACAAAAACAACAACAAAAAAAAAGGTATAATCTGTAGTTTTTAGGGAAATTATTGTTATCATCTGCTACCAAAAAGTGAAATGTATGTAATTATGTTGTTTGCTAGTAAAATATCTCATAAATCACTGGACAGATAAAAAAAATCGACATCTAATTAATTAATCTGATTAAAGATGGCTGCCACGGCTTCTCAAACTTAGCAAAATTATATGGCTATAACCCAGTAAATTTTACAGATAGTGAGCTAAAATTAAGTTTGAAAGTATCTGAGAGTCATCCTCAACACATATTTGAAGAATACGGTTTAAACTTTGCAACTGACCATTGAAGCCGACTCTGTTTGTTCATTAGTAAAATATCTCACATCTTCTGAGCAGATTTTAATGAAAGTCTTCGAAGGTAACCTATGGATGTACGTCTATCTCAGTTATACATATATCAAGCTAAAATGTGAGTCATTCCCATCACACACAATTGTGCGAGATTTTGTGCAATTTTGTTTTAAGATTTAACTACAACAATTCTAACAAAAGGAAAAAAATTGTATAGGTCCTCTGGACGGGTTCTTCTCTAATGAAACGTTTCGTCTCTCCTCCAAGAGACTTCTTCAGTCTGAGAGTTTCAGGCAAAATTCAGGCTTTTAAGCCCTGCCTCCATGTGACTGAAACTCACATCACATGGATATCGTTCATACCTAATTAATACCTATTGTTAACAGGGGGTGGAGTGATACTGGCAATAGCAGCACTGTAGGAGGGGGACAGCTGAAAACGGAGGCCCCCACCTCTGTTTAATGATGGACGGTCTTTCTTTACAAAACTGGCTTCTTTTACTCCTCTCTCAAACCAGCGTTCCTCCCTATCAAGAATGAGAACATCTTCATCTCTGAAAGAGTGACCGCTGGCCTGTAAATGAGTGAAAACTGCAGAGTTCTGGCCATTAGATGTAACTCGTCTGTGTTGGGACATTCTTTTGAACAGTGGCTGCTTTGTTTRCCCGATGTATAACTGGTCGCAGTCCTCCTGGCACTTAACAGCATATACAACATTGCTCTGTTTGTGCCGGGGCACCGGATCTTTGGGGTGAACCAGCCTTTGCCGTAATGTGTTTTGGGGTTTGAAAGCTACTGGGACATCATGTTTAGAAAATAAACGTCTCAGTTTCTCCGAAACACCCGCAACATACGGAATAAGCACTGGTTTGGGTRTGGGTTTGGGGTCTTCATTTTCACCTGAAGGTTGCATGGAATCCTGTCTGTGTTTCCTGTCTGCTTTCAGGAAAGCCCAGTCAGGATAACCACACTGCTCCAGGGCCTGTTGTGTGTGATTTCTCTTTCTSCCTGGCTCCTGGGTTTGTAGGGACACTGTCTGCTCTGTGGTACAGAGTCCTGATCACTCCTAACTTGTGTTCCAGTGGGTGGTGGGAGTCAAAACGCAAATATTGGTCTGTGTGGGTGGGCTTACGATACACGCCAGTTTCCAACCGTCCTCCATTCCTTTTGATTTTTTACCTGGATTACTGAGATGCATCAGGACAATTCTAACAATTATTTCTCAACATGAGGTTAATTTAGTTTAGGTTATTAAAAGTAAAGAGGAGGGCGATATGCATTCCTTCGAGGAATGCTTCATTAGATAAATGAACACAGCACAGATTTATAATAGCACACAAGGATGGAAAAGGCGCCAGTTGGCTAAAGGGGGCGTGGTTAAACCTCTGTGCCTGACAAACCAAACTCAGGGCAGTAGTTTTCATCTTTCGTCAAACGTGGCTAACAGCGCTGAGAGCGGTGAGCTAACTAAATATAAAGGGAATGATTATAATTAAGAACATATTAAAGTTGTTGTGATTTAACCTCGTTTAGCTGTGGTTTTTACAGATGACAGGACTGTTTACTTGTCTCTGGTTGACTCTCTGTGTCCTCACAGGGTTGACATGCAGTGACTGATCCGTGTCCTCCAGCTGCTCCAACATGTTGTCCCCGGTCTGCAGCTCTGTGAGGTCCGCTGTCAGACTCCTGCCGCGGCGGAACAGGGCTGGAGGTGGGACATCTACCAAAAATAACTGTTACTTTCCAGAAATAACTTCTTCGTGATTCTTGAAAAAGTTTAATCTCTTCTTAGGGTGTTTTATTTTCTACATTATGTTCCCACATTGCTTAGAAAGTGGTTCCCAAACTTTTCAGCATTTTGACCCGCAAAACACCAGCAGCAGAGACCTGTGCCCCCTGCTGTTGTTGGTTGATGAACATTGTTTTCACGTCAAATAAACAAGAGCATAGGAACAATATTTATTACTCTCGTTTTGTCTATTTTAAGTACACTATCTTTACTCTTTTGTAACAACAACGGCAAAAAATATTGATAGTTGTAATTTTTTAGTGTAATTAATTCAGAAAATCTTTTCGGGACTCCCATCTTGATGTTTCGGGACCCCACTGTGGGAACCACTGAAAGGGGCTGTTCATACTTGTTACAAATCTGCTTTGGGTGATTTGCCTGCAGGTGGTCAGCTCTGACAGGGATGTGGATAAAAATGTGTTTATCCCATACCAATATTAAACCTGACAGTGAGGAGAAGATTAAAAACKCTTTAAAAATTACACCAAAATCATGTAAGCATCTCAAGTATTAAGAAAGTTATGGAAGGTTTTTTTTGTACGTAATCAAGCTCATGATTTCTGCCTTCATAAGCATTTCGCCTTATTACTTCCTTTTCCTTTCTTTTTTTRCTTTTTTGCTCATAACTTCTTTTATGTCCAAAATATCATCATGAAATTTTCAGAAATGGTCCACTTTCTGTTTTATTTAGGAAGGATCTTGTTTCCCAAAAACAAATACTTTACAAAATCCAATGTAAATGTAGCAGAAAAGATATAAAATAATGTTAAAAGACTCATGTCACCAAACTGCATCAAATCAACTTGATGTATCTTGGAAATCCATGAAGTGAATACCATTTAAAAACTATGTTGACGTAAACAAAACTCAGCCAATGATAGTGTGTGAAATGTGTCACGTGACAAAGAGCGTCAGCACTTTTTACTAATCATTTTCACCACAGACAGTTCTGTAGTGGAAAAAACATGCCTCAACATTTCAATAAAATTTGGAACAAAGGCATATAAAATAATGTCCTTCATGTAAGCTTGACTATTTAAAGGGTCACTGGAAAAAAGTCAGTGATTTTATATGTGTCAAATTTGTTGAAATAATGAAATAGAGCAATAATTAGCCCGGTCTCCCTCAGTGAAGCATTGTGCAATCCAGTCACAGTGGTCTAGGAAGAAAATGGCAGCCGCTACACTTTGGTTGCAGGCAGCCCACATAGATCGCTGCCCACGACGACCACACCCTATGTGGGCCGTAGGCCGCTCATGTAGGCTGCATAAARGCAGASTTGCAAAGTAACTAAWTACAAATARTTTGTTACTGTACTTAAATAGAAAATTTGGCTATTTGTACTTTACTGAGTAATTATTTTTCAGCTGACTTTATACTTCTACTCCTTACATTTTCACACAGTTATCTGTACTTTCTACTAAGAAGTAGAACATTGTTACTAGGGATGCATTGATATGAAAATTTCAGCAGATATCGATAGTCAATATTAATATTGGTGTTTTGGCTGATAACCAACACGTGTGTGTGCGCACAAACACACGGCTTTTTTTCGATACTATATAAAAAAATAAATTAAAAACAGACCGCTGACATGGCTCTCTGCTTCAGTTATTTCTGGCTGCATAGTGTCACTATCACTGTCTTGATCAAATAGACACCGCTCAACCAACCATTTCCCCTCTCAAAACAGAAACACAAATGGCAACAAGAAGTCAATACTGGACGTTAATATCAGATACAGTTTTACTTATCAGACCAATACCGATGTTGACGCCAATTTGTCGTTCATCCCTAGTCGTAACCCCTATTCCTTTTGATTTGTTTTCATTCCAGCTTGTAAAATAACCTATCCAGACAAATTGTGCCTCCTGGATAGAGTGAATTTAATTGTGGTTGGATGGGAAGTTTAAATATATGCCATTCTGACACCATATTAGTTTGTACAAAAATCATGTGACACTCCAACAGAAAACAGACATACAGTGGGGTGCGAAAGTTTGGGCAGCCTTGTTAATTTTCCTGATTTACCTTTATAAACCGCTGATTAGTTGAATGAAAAAAAATCAGTTAAATATATCATATAGGGGACAAACATAGTGATATTTGAGAAGTGAAATAAAGTTGATATTATTTACTGAAAATGTGCAATAATTGGTTAAACAAGATTAGGCAGGTGCATATACTGTATTTGGGCACCATAAAAAAARCTTAACTCAATATTTAGTAGATCCTCCTTTCACAGAAATAACAGCCTCTAAACGCTTTCTATAGCTTCTAATGAGAGTCTGGATTGTGGCTGAAGGTATTTTAGACCARTCTTCTTTACAAAACATCTCTAGTTCATTCAGGTTTGATGGTCTCTGAGAATGGACAGCTCTCTTTAAGTAACACCACAGATTTTCAAAAATATTTAGGTCTGGGGACTGAGATGGCCATTCCAGAATGTTGTA